TGGAAGTCAGCTGGGGGTCAGGAGGAGGCAAGCTGGTTAAACTAATTTTGAATTACCTGAATGTTAAAAAGAGAATGAGGGCAAGCCAAAGGTTCCTGGGTGGGCATTCGGGAGGTGCTAAATAGGGACACAGGAGTTCTGAGGGCCCCCAGTCTGCCTCCGCCAGGCCTCAGCTCCCCCAAGCTCATCCCGCTTTTCAAGCAGGGCATCTTCACTCCCTCCACTCCTGAGGTTCTGAGGCCACAGACTTGCTAACAGCTGGTACAGAGGGCTCACAACGCAAATGCACAGCATGGACACTACGAGCCCATTAATCCACTTCTCCTCCCGCCTGGTCTCCCTGTGGCCGCTGCTCCCTCTGATCCACCCAGCACACTGCAGCTGCGAGAGTGCGTTCTGCAGGGCAACCTGCTGGTACCACTTCTGCTCCAACCCTCCTATGACAGCCCATCCCCTGGAGGATTAGGTGCCACTTCGAACAGTCTCCTGGAACGTGCTGAGATACAAATAAATTAATACAGGCTAAGGCACTAAAAACTCCCAAACCAGGGTGCTCCTGGCTGTCCCTCGTGGACTCTATGCCCCGCCACACAGACCAGCCAGCTGCTCTCGACCACCACGCCATACGTCACCCTTCCTTGCTGTCTTTGCGAACCTGTTCCCTCTGCATGGAAAGTCTCCGGAACCCCCATGCCTGGCACACACATTCGACTAAAGAAATAAGTGGTAGAGGAAAGTAAGCGGTACCAGCTAGCCACAGGGTACTTAGGAGCAAGGACTATCTTATTTGTATGGTGTCTTGCAACTGGCAGAGAGCTGGAATGCAGTGAAGGAGCACTGAATGGAGAAGGGGGTGGTTTCCATCTTGCTGCTGCCTGAGGTCCCACAGCCTGAGGTCAGCCTGGGGTGGGTCTTTCCATCCCTCTCCTCTGACCTTGAGGAAAGGGGTCTTGGTGAGTCTCCCCCAGTCTCTACACTTTGCCCTAGTGTTCTTAAAACCTGGGCTTTATTCCTGCCACTCCCAGACCCACTCCGGCACTTCCCACAGGCTCATCATTCACCTTCAGGGTCCAGAGTTGGCCCAGCCCCTTCTTGCTCCTCCTCGGCTCTGAGCTTCCTTCCTGCCTTCCACTGTGCTAGATGCAACTGGGCCACACAGTAGGAGCTAAATAAATGTATCTGGAACAAATGCAGCTTTCCCTGGCCACCAGCACCCACATGAATATCCTCTTTTTCAGAATTCCTAGAGCTCCTTTGTGCAAAGTCCTAAATAAGTAACCAGCCCCCCACCAGATACTCATTCCCTAAACCAGCTCATTACCAGAATGGCCCAGGAAAGTTACAAATGCAGATCTCTGGGTCCCCATCCCAAACCTGCCGAATCCAACCCCTTGGAGGGAGCCTCAGAAATGGGTACTTCACAAGCCCCACAGGGGAGTGTTATGGCCAGGCTGGGGGATGCCCACCCCAAGGAACAGGCAGAAGGGCAAATTAGCCCAAGAGAGAGCTTCCTGTCTGCAACACAGGGCTGTTGCCAGGATCTAGTGACAGGACACACGGAAAACACGGGACAAACGCTAAAGCCCAGGCACGCCTGCAAGGAAGAGTGTGGCTGCTGGACGGCAACCTCCGCCTGCTCCCTCAGCCCCCACCCAACACATCCGGGCAGTGCCCCCTCCTCTCTCTAGCTGAGACCTGGACCAGATGGGAAAATGCGCACCTCTCTGCCTCAGTCCCTTTCGGATGTTACCAGGCCCCAGCCCAGGGAGGTGGGCGAGGATGAGGGTGAGAACAAACCAGCCAAGCCCTAGAATGCTTGAAGGCATGTCACTGTTTAAAAAAAAAACCCTGGGGGCAAACAAAGGGGACATGAACAAGTCACTCGGGTGACAAAGCCTGGTTCCCACGGAGGGCAGTAGCACACGGCAGGCACGCCTGTGGCTGAGGTCCACTGCCAGGCCCTCCTTGCGAGCTGCGGAGCCCACCCGCTTGCCCTCCCTTGGTAGACCTCCCCAGGGGCACATCTACTCAGGGACAAGCCAGTCTTTCCAGGGTCCCTCCTGGGACCCCAAGGGCTGCTTCTCCCAACAACTCACACTGGTTCCCGCTCACTTGGCCCAGCGTCCCTGGGGTCCAGGTGCCCAGACTGCCTCCCATCTGGACTGAGGCCTGGTTCCCTGCAGCCCTATTTCTAGGACGCAGCCAGGAGACCCAAGCAAGTCCCAGGAGCTCCTTTTCCTGCAGGCTCCTGCCTGAGGCCTCACACGAGCCTTGGCTGTGTCACTGTGGATCCCTCCCTTCTCTGAGCCTCAGTTTCCCTATCAAGGAGATGAGAGCGGCTCAGAGGTTCTGCGCGTGGTGGTGAGCCTTCCATCCCTCCGTGCCAGCTCTGGTTATATTTCTTGCATTCCTTAAGACCACATGGCGGACAGGTTTTTTCTCTCCTTGGTCTTTGGTGGGAAAGGAACTTTTCAAAACCATCTGCCTCGCCTCAAATCCTGTCCTGAAACACAGGAAAGCCGAACGTTCCTCTGCTTCCTCCTGCCCTGGCCACAGGGTCAGAGGTGACTGAGGGAACCAAGGAGAGGACAGGAGGGCGAGGTGCCACTGGGCTTCCTCAGTCCCAAACAGATCCTGACTGAGTCTCACAGATCACCTTCAGAGCTGGGACAAATAAGCCCTTCACCGAAGTATTACCGGAGTGAGTGGAGGCTTACTGTACATGAGGAAAATGTCATCCCTTCCCACCAAGACACTCATCCCCAGTAAACACAGACCGGCCTCCCAGGCGACCAATGTGTTTATGTAACAGCCAGGACCCAGGTCTGCTGGGCCCTGGCAGGGGGGGCTCAGGCAGGCTCCGAGCAGACTCAGAAGGAGCAGGGAAACGCCCAAAGAAGCTGCTCCCCTCCCTCCACTGAGAAAGAAGGTGGGGACGCAGCTTTGCAGGACAGCAGCAATATGGTTTGGCAGATGGGGAAAGGAAGGATATAGGGCAGAAATTGGAGAAGGAGTTTTCTGGGTTTTTTTCTTTTTTTTGATGCCTGCGTACAGCAGAAGAGCTGGGAAAGCAGACAGAAGTGGGAAAGCAGGGGTGAGGTGGGTAATAGAGATGGGTTCCAGGAGAGAGGCTGGAAAAAAAAAGGAAGAAGGAGGAAAGAGGGGGGAAGGCTTGCCAAAAGGGAGCAGGGAAGCCGGGATGGGGAGAACTGAGAACGGATGTGTGAGGAGCAGCTGCGCCTGGTGACAATGAGACATCGGGTCCCCGGATTCGACGGGTGATACCAAGCTTCCAGGCTAAGCAGACGGAACATGGGGTACTTCCAAACCGCAATGGGGAAGTTGGTCACGGGGGAGGGCTCTAAGGGGGGAAATTCTGCCTGTGGTGTTGAATCTAAGACGGCGTGAAAACCCAAGTGCGTCCCAGGAATCATGACCTTCACATCACAGAAGATGACCAGCCAGAGGCCTCCTGAGCTGCCGGGGTTGCTGATAAGGAAGCTGGAGCTAGAGGTGGAAGCCGGCCGGTTCCTGCCTCTCCCTGCTCCAGGAAGGACTCTGTGGCAGATGTCTTCCCTCATCTCTTCTGTAGCCATCTCCCCAAGTCTCTTCACCTTCCAAAAGGGGCGGGGTGGGGTGATCTTGGAGCTGATAGGGCACTTCTCTGACTTCCTCCAAAGGACAGTGCAGCTGCAGGGAATGGCGGCTCCCCGCCCCACCCCCTTTGGATCTAGGAGGAAAAATTGGTCATCTCCTCTCTTTGGGGCCCTGGGCTCACACAAATGCCATTTTCTGGTCCCTAACCACAACGGTGATTCAGGCCATTTACTCAGATCCATGATAATGAGTTTTTTCTGTCACCTAATTAGTTCACAGTGAACTCAGCCTTGAGAGGAAAGAGAGGAGAGAGGGCTGAGGAGAGGACAGAAGTCAGGCTGGAAGGATACAACAGATAGGCAGGACCCCAGCACTGAGGGGTCCTCTACTCCCCAAACACGGAATGTTCCTTTCCCCAGTCATGGGGACCTCTGAAAGCAGAAAGGGGGTGTTCAGGTGAAGGAGCCCCCAGGGTCCCACACAAGGAGATGAAGATGGGAGTGGGGCCCTAACTGTGAGGCCCACATAGCAGCAGGCCCCTGCTCACAACTCCATGTCATCAGCAAAAGGCCTGCACACTCCCTGCATTTTCTCTAAGGCCAAACCCACCACCTGCTGGTGGGCGTCCCCCTTGCCATGGAACCGGAGGAAGCAGATGGCCCAGGGCGAGGCCCATCTGCCCCACAGTGCTCAAAGGTCACTATGCCACTGGGGTGCCTGCGGGTGCTGCAGGTCCCCACTACGCGAGGGGTCGTGGGACATCTGCCAGCAGCACGCACTCACTTCCTCTGCCCCTCGACAGCAGAAACCCAGTGCCCCAGAGTCCGGAGAAAGGAGCGCTGGGCAGCGCAGTGGCCCGGGACTCCAGTCCCCAAAGCCTGGCGCCGTGTCCCTGGAGGTCGGTCAGCCCCCGGCAGCCCCGCGCCCGCCTCCTGAGCGGCTCCCTGGAGAGCAGCGACGGATGCCCGGAGCCCGTGGGACCCGGCAAAGGCGCCAATGGCCCGGCCGGTGCCTCCCACGCTGTCGCGGTGCCCGAGCCCGCGCCAGGCCCGGCCCGCGCCCGCCCGGCCGCGGCAGCGTGGGGGGTGTGCGTCGGGAGAGGGCGCCGCGGCGAATGCCACCCTCCCGGGCCCGCGGGCTCTGGGCCCGGGAAGGCTGCCATCCACTAACGGGAGGCTCCGATCCCTCGCCCCGCCGCAGGGCAAGGCAGGAGCAGCAGCTGAAACGCCTCTCCGGCAGCCGCCCCACGTCCCGGCCCGCCAAGGCCCTCCGCTGCACCCACCCACCCCGGCCATGCCTGACCAGATCTGGCCCCAGACCCCCAGCAACTCTGCGGCTCCGAGCGCACTCGTTCCCGAAGCGACACCACCCTCGCGCCCTGGAGCATAGGAGCAGAAAACGTGTCCCTTGGCACGGGACCGGTCCCCAGCCCCAAAGTGTCCCCGAACGAGATATGGCGAAGCCTGGACGCTGGCTCTGCAGCGCCGACGATAGCACACCGCGTGGCCCGGACCTCAGGCGCGCAAGGACCCCCGACTGGGAAAGCGTGGCCAGGCCAGGCCGGGCCCGCAGAGTCTCCGGGCGTCGCCGGAGAGACCACCGCGCCCTGGCTCCCGCAGACTCCGGTTCCGCTCACCCTCGATGGAGATGACGTGCTCCCGGATCTGGTTCTGCAGCGCCAAGTCCTCGATGCGCTCGATCAGGTCGTAGATGGCGTAGATATTGGGATGCACGGACTCGAAGCGCTGGATCTCGGCCCGGATGGCCGCGGAGTTGGAGAGCGCGAACTGCTGGGGGGGCCCGCCGGCCAGCTGCTGCGAGGGGCCGCCGCCACCCCCGGCCCCCGGCCCCGCGCCGCCGAACTGCCCGCCGCCCCCCGCGCCGCCGCCGCCGCCGCCGCCGCCCCCAGGCGCCGCCAGGCTCGGCTGCTGCTGCGGGCTCTGCCCCCCGCCCGCCTGGAAGTTCATGGCTCCGGAGCCGCGGGGCCCGAGGCGGGCCCGACCGGGGCCCGAGGCGGCGCTGCGGCGGCGGCGGCGGCGGGCGGGCGCGCGGGGCTGGCGGGGCCGGGACTACGGAGCCGGCGGCGCGGGGCTAGCGCATGGGGCCGGGGGCCGGGGGCCGAGGCCGGTAGGCGACGCCGCGCACGCTGTGGCCGCCGTTGCCGGGCGCTTCCCGGCGCCGCGATCCCGCTGCCTCGGAGCAGCTTCCAGCGGCAACAACAACGGGACCGGGAGCGCGCGGCCCGGGCCCTCCCCCCGCGTCATGCGCACGCACCGCCGCCCCCGCCGGCTCCAGCACACGCAGCCCGAGCCCCCTCCCCGCCGCCCCCGCCCCTCCTGCGCGCTGGCCCCAGCGCCCCCGCCCCTCGCTTGCTCGCTGGCTCTGCAGCCTCCACCCCCGAGCCGCGCGCTCCAGCCTTAGTGCCCCGGCCCCTCCCACCTAGCCTTGGCCCTTCCGCCTGCTCTCCAGCCCCAACCCACACCCGCCACCAGGGCCACCCGCTCAGAGGGGATGGCTGCCCTGGCCTCCTCCTGGCCCCTTCCTGGCCCCGGCTGTCGCTTTCGCCGCCCTGCGCTGGTCTGGGTGGAGTGTCCGATCTCTGGGCAGTGCCCGAACAGTGCCCTACGCCTGAGGGTGCTGATGAACGTGGCTGATTGGCCAAGGAGGGCCGCCAGCCCAGGCCCAGCTGCGACTCGATTACAAGGTCCTGCCTTCAGTGCAGGACAGGCTCCCCTGTCCCCGGCCCCAAGGTCATCCCTAGAGACTACCCCGCCCCCCCCCCCCACCGGGGTTCTCCCTCTAGCCCTCCCCTGGACTCTCCACAGCAGGCTGCAGCACGGAGACTGGAAATCTGGGTTCCCAGCTTCTATTTCCAGTTCTCCCTGAGAGAGTCATCCGTGAGGCCCTTGGAAATGACACTGAACAACTACGTACCCACTCTTAATTTCCTGCCTCTTCTAAAAGACCCCTCTGCCAGACTGGGGAGGATCCGCTGACCACTGATGGACCCACTGGTATATAGAGGAAGAAGAGAGAGGAATCAAATATGCCTTCTTCCCCCACTCACCCCATTCAAGACAGTCACTAGAGCCCACATGACTCTTAATTGTGCTCTCTCCCTTGTCCATCCTATGTTCCTGTCTGCTCATTCTGGGGCCAGGGATCTCCCTTCAATGTCCCAGTTCCTCTGCATCCCCATCGCTAAAGCTGTCTGCAGTTCTGCTAGCCAACCCTCCCCCAACCTTTCCTAAAACCCCTGAGATGGACTGAGCAGGGTGCTGACCCAACCAATCAGTCTGCCATGGCTGCACCCGGACGTTTTCTGGCACAGTTGACACATATCCTTTTTACACTCACTTACACTTCCCAGGCCGAGCTGGATCTTTTCCCAGCATAAAGTTGCTCCCCATTCACCTGCCCACACAACTTTGCCCCAGTACCAACCCAGTCACCATTCCTAAGTTTCTTGTACCTTCCAAAGAACCAGATGCAAGCTAATCAATAGCAGGGGCCTCCCCAGCTCCTGAGAGATATGGGTTCTATCTACCTGTTTGAACTTAAGGATATCTTCTGCCCTCTCTGGGCTTCATCTGCAAAATATAGTGGTTGAACAGAACACCTAGCTCTGATGTTCTGTAATTCTAAAAGCAATATCTAATAATTCTTTTAGATGCTTAATTAGAATCGACAGCAAGAAGTTGCACCAGGTACCTCTCAGGAGAGATGCTGAGGGTAAAGGGTTCCTCAAATGTGTTGCCCCAGCAGCCAGCACACATCTATTTTAGCACTGGTGGGCTGTCTACACGTCTGTCTCCTCTGTTAGTATATGAGCCACATAAGGGCAGGGACAAAGTCTGATTCACCGTTTTATTCCCAGCATCTTGCACTGGGCCTGACATATGCATTTAATAAATGTTTCTAGAATAAATGAATGAATAGAAGGGAAGGAACTAGAGACAAGTTGGTTCTGTACATTATAAATCTAAACTGACTTTCCCAAGGCTGCACTTGGAGTACTTGCTCCCACAAGTAGGCATGTGCTATGGGAAGACTAGGGTACATGACTTTTAATCAAGACTGACCTATAAAATCCAGGATGTGAGATCTCTGTGCCTCCAGGAGCCCAGAGGAAGGGGGGAAATCCACAGAAATCAGCTGGCCCAGGCCAGGCTGAGCCTCAACATCCTCTACACAGTAACAGGCTAAGGACCCAATTTCTGAGCCCAGGTTTGGGTGGAGGGAGTGTTCTAAAACTAGGTGAGCAAATATCTACTGAGTGGCAGATTCCTTACATAGTTTTCACACTTATTTAATAAACCACTTAATTTCTTCCATATAATTGCCTTATGAGGTGTATCTTAGAAATGAAATTTAGGGGTCAAAGAGATTCAACAACGCACCCAAGGTCATATAGTTGCTAAGGACATGATGAGGGATCAGCATTTGTTCCAGGTTCCAAAGTCCATGCTTCTTAACAGTCTTGCAGGGGCAAAGTGGAGGAGGGGACCAGGGAAACAGGTCAGCCCAAGCCACGGTAGCCAGCCCTGGAGACTGGTATCCTCAGGCAGCCTGGTGGGGCAGCCCGTGGGTACTGGGTTCTGGGCTGGAGTCAATTTGGGGGTCCCAACGTGCCTGCTTGCGTCCACTCGGACATAAGAGTATGCCAGGGTAGAGGATACCTGAGCTCCCTAGAGCCTGCCTCTCGAAACACGGGTGCTCTGACGTACTCCGGCTGACGTTGGTTTCTGGAGTGACAGATGCCCTGGCTGCCCGCGGGAGAGGAGGCGGATCCTGTTACCGGCCAAACCTCTGCTTGCTAGCACAACCCCCAAACCCGCCCCCGCCGGCCCCCCAGATGCTTGAGGCAACCAGACCACCAAGCCCCGCATGTGGTTCTCCAGGCACGAGCGGGGAGACGGCGCACCGCGCCGGACTACAAGTCCCACAATGCTCCGGGCGGTCGCGTCGGCGGCGGTGAAGGAGGGGTGCCTTCAGGTGTCTGCGACCTCGACGCCTCCCGCCCGGAAGTGCCCGAGGGTCCGCTATGGAGCTGGCGGAGCCGGGCGGTGAGTCTCCGCGCCGTGACCGCGCCCACCCGCTCCCCGTGGCCCCCGCTCGCCCCGCCCCGGGATCGCCCGTGCCTTCCAGCGGCTTTGCAGGGAGGGAAGATGGGAGGGGTGATGGAGGAGTTGGGGGTGGGGAGGGCGAAGTCTCGGATTCCCGGGCAGGATCTGGGGTCTGGCAGCTGCCTGGGTTTGGAGAGGCTTCCAGGGGAAGCGCGGAGTCGGGCCGCCGCGGGTTGGGGCTTGAGTAGACCAGGAAGGGCCGAGTTGTGTTGGGTGTAGCAGCCCTTGGAGGCTCCAGACTGCCAAAGGGCAGAGTTTGACTTTTGGTGTCGGCAAGCCTTGGGAAGCAATCCCGTGCCACGGTTGGGATTTGGGTACATGGTAACAGGGCGGGGATGAGGGGTAGGGCGTGTGTGTGTGTGTGTGTGTGTGTGTGTGGCATAGAGGCCCTTTTTCTTTCCCCTTGGAGAAACTTTAGCAACAGAATAGATAAGCATTGGGGTAAACTTTGGGATGAAGTAGATGGAAGAAGAGGTAAGCTTTGGGGTGAAGTTTGGTGGGGGTTGAATTTAGGGAAGAGGTTACTTAAAAGGTCGAGGCCCTTACCTTGGCATATGGTTTGGGTGATTTGGGGAGCTGGTTAAAGACCAAGAACTCGGTTACAAGTTAAGACTTGAGATGTGGTGATGGGAAAGGGCACATGAGGCAAGTTTGGGGTGACTGGGAGTTAGGGCAGTCTGTGCTCCCGCGTAGGGCTTGGGTAAGGGGGCAGAGGAATGAGGGCTTTGGGAGAGTTGTGGCGGGATGGGGTCAGGAGCCTGTTGAAGATGAGAGGGCTTTTGGCCAGTGAGCCACCCCCTCATGGGTTCTTTGTGCCTCTCCAGCTCGGTAGCGCAGCAGGCAAGGCAGGTGCCATGGCCCTGATTGAAGGGGTGGGTGATGAGGTGACCATCCTTTTCGCGGTGCTTGCCTGCCTTCTGGTGCTGGCTCTCGCCTGGGTCTCAACACACACCGCCGAGGGCACCAACTCACTGCCCCAGACGTCAGGGACCCCAACACCAGCACAGCCCAGTGAAGCTATGGCAGTCACCGACAGCATCAGAGGGGAGGCCCCAGGAACCGAGACCCCCAGCTTGAGACACAGAGGTCAGGCTGCACAGCCAGAGCCTGGCACACAGCTCCCAGCAACGCCGCCACCCCCGGACTCCCCCCAGGAGCCCCTAGTTCTACGGCTGAAATTCCTCAACGATTCAGAGCAGGTGGCCAGAGTCTGGCCTCACGACACCATTGGCTCCCTGAAAAGGTAAGCTGGGATGAGGACAGGAACAAAATGCTAGAATGGGGTAGAAGTGATCACAGTGGAAGGGCCACTGGAAATATCTGAGACTTCCTCCTCATTTTATAGATGAGGGAACAGAAGTCCCCAAATGCACACTGTGTTGTTCCCCTGTAGCAGGAAGGACCCTCTTGGAGGCCACGACCTGGGTGGTGGGTAGATGGCAGAGAAGAGAGGAGGGAGTATTATTCTAGGCAAGGGACTAGGATTGCCTGAGGCCTGCTCTATTACCCAGGTCCCTCTCTCCTCAGGACCCAGTTTCCGGGCCGGGAGCAGCAGGTGCGACTCATCTACCAAGGGCAACTGCTAGGAGACGATACCCAGACTCTGGGCAGCCTTCACCTCCCTCCCAACTGCGTTCTCCATTGCCACGTGTCCACGCGGGTCGGTCCCCCACACCCTCCCTGCCCACCGGGGTCAGAGCCAGGCCCCTCCGGGCTGGAAATAGGCAGCCTGCTGCTGCCCCTGCTGCTTCTGCTTCTGCTGCTGCTCTGGTACTGCCAGATCCAGTACCGGCCCTTCTTTCCCCTGACCGCCACTCTGGGTCTGGCCGGCTTCACCCTGCTCCTCAGTCTCCTGGCCTTTGCCATGTACCGTCCGTAGTGCCTCCACGGGCTCTTGGCAGTGTCACTGGCCGCTCTGGACCTTGCTCCCCACGACACGGTGGGAGCTGCTGTCTGCCCAGGCCCGCCTCTCCGGCCTGCCTCTTCCCACTACCTTGGAGCCCAGCCGTGCGCCGCAGAGCCCTCCGGGGTTCGGCAGAGGCCCCTCCCTGTGACGTCCATGGCTCTGGGCCACCTCCCGGGCCTGCTGGCCCTCAGCCGCCACTGACAGTTGGCTCCTCTGGGTCAGGCAGCTGCTGTCGCTGCCTTGGTCCTGGGCAGAGCCGGGCCACGCCCCTGGGCCCGTCTTAGTGTTCTGCCTGAGCACCCAGCCACCTCTAGTCCCTAATAGCTCTTTGGGCTGGTTTAGGGACCCAAGGACCCTGGGGGACTGGTGAAGGGGAGCTGGGCGGGACAGAGGGGTTCTTTGGAACAGGCCCAGATTAAATAACTGTGAAGTTTTCACTCTCGGTGTGTGTCTGGGTGTGTGGGCCGGGCGGCGGGGGCGGGGATCCCTCAGCCAGTGGGAAAAAAGGAGCGAGCGGAGGGCAGTACGGGGCTTTCGGTCCTGCCCAACCTGCCCAGGCCAGCCGCCAGCTCCCCTCTCGCCTTTCCGCCCCAGCCTCAGCGCGCTGCCCTTTGGCCCCGCCCCTCCGGCCCCGGCTCCGCCCGGTGCCGCGCGCGCAGCTTCCCGGAAGCGGGAGGCGGGGCGCACGGCGCCCCGGCGCGCGGGGCCTGACGGGAGCCACGTCTTTGCTGGCGGAGGGCTGAGCGCTATTGGCGTCCGGGCGGCGATCCGGGGGCTGCCGGGAAGATGGCGGACTCGGTGGCCCGCTGATGAGGAGGCCGCGGGGGGAGCCCGGCTCCCGGGCCCCGAGACCGACTGAGGGAGCGACCTGCGCGGGGCCTGGGGAGTCATGTAGGGGCGGCTCCTGCGGGACGGGCGCGGGAGGGCGGCGGGAGTTGGTGTTGGCGACCGTGACCACGGTCTCCTGACGTCCCCGGGCCGGGTGGGTGTGGGGACCCCTGACACTGCTGACTCCGCGCCGCTGCAAAGCTGCGCTCTCGGCCCCACGGGCGCCCTGTGAGGTGGGCCCCGCGTTCTCGTTTCACGGGCGAGGAGGCTTGGGCAGAGAGACGAAGCCACTTGTCCAAGGTCACGCAGCTGGTAAGTGGGAGCGCTCAGCATGGAACCCAGCCCCGTCCGACTGCGGAACCCGCGTGCCAGCCTCCGCGCCGCCGCCGCCTCCTGCGGGAGGGGGAGGTGGTCGGGAGGGCGGATGGACCGGGCGAGTTGGGCTCCAGGATGGGCGCGACCACTAACCCGATTCGTGACCTCGGGCTTAACTTAACCCCTTCGCCTCTCTGGGCCTTGGTTTCTCCACCTGTGAAATCGAGGTAATGCCAGCCCTGTCTGTCTCCTCACAGGCATGTGGGGAGGAAGAAGAGATAATGCATGTGGACTTGCTTTGTAAATGTCACTGCGCTGAGCACACTGAAGGACTGTAATTGCTGTTTCAAATGAGTGGAAGGAGGCAGGGCGGGCGGAGTGGGGCAGAGGACCAGAGCGGTCACAAGCAGGGATGAACACAAGTCTGGGTTGCTCTGACCGCAGGCCCTCTGAACAGGGAGTGTGGTGAGGAGTAGGTAGCAGGTCTTTCTCCCCTTTGGAGAAAACCTCACCTCCTTTTCTGGGCCACCCCTCAGGGTCTCCATCACCCAACTCCATGCTTCGAGTCCTGCTCTCTGCCCAGGCCTCCGCTGCTCGGCTGTCTGGCCTGCTGCTGCTCCCGCCAGTACAGCCCTGCTATCTGGGGCCCAGCAAGTGGGGGGACCGGCCTCCTGGAGGAGGCCCCCATGCAGGCCCTGTGCAGGGGCTGCAGCGGCTTCTGGAACAGGCGAGGAGCCCTGGGGAGCTGCTACGCTGGCTGGGCCAGAACCCCACCAAGGTGCGCCCCCACCACTACCCGGTGGCACTCCGTCGTCTGGGCCAGCTCTTGGGGTCTCGGCCACAGCCCCCTCCTGTGGAGCAGGCCACACTGCAGGACTTGAGTCAGCTCATCATCCGAAACTGCCCCTCCTTTGACATTCACACCATCCACGTGTGTCTGCACCTTGCAGTCTTACTTGGTGAGGAGGGGTCTGGGGGGTGGGTGTTAGTGGAAGAATAGAGAAAGATCAGTAGAGGACCTGAGATCGGTGTCAGAATTCACCTCTCAGGTTTTGCCGGGAATGGCACGTACCCCAGCACACTGGCCGCGGCTCCCCTGCATCCACAGCAGACACCAGGAGTCAAGCAGCATACGTCCAGCTTAACTAGAGTGCCACCCCAGATCCCTTCTAATCTAGTGCTCTAGGAAGCCACGACAATTTGTCACTGTTGGCACCAGATGAGAGCTCATATGTCATCTTTGTATAAGGCCTTCCCCACAGGCTGTTCTGATACCTCAAGTTCACATGGCATTTCACATTTCTCCAGTATTTCCACTGATACTAGAGCAAACCTTCCAGCCCAGAACACGGAGCTGAGGAAGGCTGGGAATTCACTAACTAAACCCCATGACTGGAGTGGAGTAGGGCAGCTTCCTGTTAGCAGGACTGCCTCCTCTGACCCTCTGGCTCTCAGGCTTCCCGTCAGATGGCCCTCTGGTGTGTGCCCTGGAGCAGGAGCGAAGGTTCCGCCTCCCTCCGAAGCCTCCTCCCCCTCTGCAACCTGTCCTTCGTGGTGGGCAAAGGTTGGAAGCTGCTTTGAGCTGCCCTCGTTTCCTGCGTTATCCACGGCAGCACCTCATCCGCAGCCTGGCAGGTGCTGGGGGAGCTAATGGCAGGTGGGGAGGGGCTGAGGAGGAGACAGGTGGTGGTGTCTGGGCTAAGGTGGAATCTAATCTGGAACTCTGGCCTGAGGGTCCAGTTTGATGGGCTGTTCTTCACAGAGGCCAGGCCAGAAGAACTGACTCCTCACGTGATGGTGCTCCTGGCCCAGCACCTGGCCCGGCACCGGTTGCGGGAGCCCCAGCTTCTGGAAGCCATTGCGCACTTCCTGGTGGTCCAGGAAGCCCAGCTCAACAGCAAGGTGGGATTACCTCCCACCCTCCCATGCTCCTCTCCTGGTCACCCTCAGCCACCCTGTCAGGCCCAGCCACTTGTCCGGCTTGACTGGCTGCTGCTTCCTGCAGCAGACAACCCAGCAAGGCTCTCTGCTCTGTCCCCCAGGGTTCCATCTTTGCGCACACCCTCCTTGGTTTGTCCAGCTCCCCAGCACGTATGCCTGGTTCTCTGGAGTTCTCCAGGCACCCTTAGTGCTGTTCTAGCTTCATTGATCCCACTCCTGAGTCTTTGGGCCAGACCCACAGCAGTGTCTCCTCTGCTTGTGTTGTGTTTAATCATGTAGGGCTCAAGACTGCTTATGCTGTCGAACTTCCAGTGTGTATGTTGGGTGGCAGGATTGTTTTCCCTTCACGGGCATGTAATAAGCTTGCAGGCCACGCCTCCCCGGGATTCAGCTTGTAAAGGATATTGGAGAACTGTTTCTTGCTGGGTGATGGGCTGCTCTTTCTCCACAGGTGGTACAGAAGTTGGTCCTGCCCTTTGGGCGGCTGAACTACTTGCCCCTGGAGCAGCAGTTTATGCCCTGCCTTGAGAGGATCCTGGCTCGAGAAGCAGGGCTGGCACCCCTGGCCACGGTCAACATCCTAATGTCCCTGTGCCAGCTGCGGTGCCTACCCTTCCGGGCCCTGCACTTTGTCTTTTCCCCGGGTTTCATCAACCACATCAGTGGTGCGCAGCCAGGAGGGCCGCTGGGAAGGGAAAAGCGGGGTGGGGGTCTGCAGCCCAGCGAGCTTCAGCCCCACTGTCCCTCAGGCACCCCTCATGCCCTGATTGTGCGGCGCTACCTCTCCCTGCTGGACACGGCTGTGGAGCTGGAGCTCCCAGGATACCGGGGGCCCCGCCTTCCCCGAAGGCAGCAAGTGCCCATCTTCCCCCAGCCGCTCATCACTGACCGTGCCCGCTGCAAGTACAGGTGGCTGGGGCAGCTTGGGGGAGGGGAGGGGATGGCCTGCCAGAAGCACAGAGTAGGAAAGCCAGGGGACCATGAATTGTCCACGCTGATGCACTGTCAGTGGTCACAAAGAAAAACTGGGCCTCAAGGCAGCGAAGGCATTTGCCTGGGGCTGCGCAGCGAGGCAGACTGAACTAGCAGGAGCCTCCTGATAGCCATGCTCCTTCCCCCTCAGTCACAAGGACATAGTTGCCGAGGGGCTGCGCCAGCTGCTGGGGGAGGAGAAATACCGCCAGGACCTGACCGTGCCTCCAGGTTACTGCACAGGTGAGCTCCATATGGGTGGGTGGCAGCCAGGGACAGGGAGCCTTGGCTAAAAGCCAGCAGCCTTTTCTCTTCCCCCCTCCAGACTTCCTGCTATGTGTCAGCAGCTCTGGTGCTGTGCTTCCCGTAAGGACCCAGGACCCCTTCCTACCATACCCTCCCAGGTCCTGTCTGCAGGGCCAGGCTGCCCCGCAGCCCACTACCCGCGACCCTGCCCAAAGGTAAGGGAAGAGGGTGGGAGAGCCTGCCCTGTTGCCTCCATGGACAGCGACCCTGAGCCCCAATCCACTCCCTCTCCAGGGTGGTGCTGATGCTGCGAGAACGCTGGCATTTCTGCCGGGACGGCAGAGTGCTGCTGGGTTCCCGAGCGCTGCGGGAGCGGCACCTGGGCCTGATGGGCTACCAGCTCCTGCCGGTGAGAGCCTCCCCCTTGTGACTCCTCGCGCATCCTCACCCCAGCCCATAGGCCCTGTGGGTAACCTGGCACCCTCTCCCCTGCAGCTACCCTTCGAGGAACTGGAGTCACAGAGAGGCCTGCCCCAGCTCAAGAGCTACCTGAGACAGAAGCTCCAGGCCTTGGGCCTCCGCTGGGGGCCTGAAGGGGGGTGAGGGGGTACACACGGGTTCATGATGGCCCCCCTATGGGGGGTGGACGATTTGCACTTTGGCTCCCTCTGTTTTGGTTTCTCATTAAAGTCCCTTTCCCTCCCCATTGTGCATCTCGTTTCTGGGACAGGGAGCACACTGGGTCCCCTCATCCTTGTTTCCATTCATGCCCGCCCGCCCCATACAGAGACAGAAGGCCAGGGATAGGTGGGGGCCGAAGCACTTTACTGCAGGAGGAAGGGCGGGGGAGGTAAGGGGACTTTAAATTATTCACTTAAATAAAAATGAGGAGGGAGGGGGATGGGGAGAGCCCCCCCCAGCCCCTGTTCCCTCTGTCCGTCTGTCCCTCGGCTGTCCATCCAGGCAGCAGCTACACAGGCATGGGCATCTCATTGTACTCGTCCACACCCTCCCGCTCATCAAACACCGGCTCCGCCTCATTCGCATCCAGCTGTCAGGGAGGACGGAGTCAGGAAGGTTGACCCTGACCCACAGCACCCTTGGCAGGGACCGTGGAGGGGGCTGGCGGGGCTGGGGAGGAAGGGCAGGAGCCTTACGCATTTCATCTCTCGCTCGGTGAAGATGCGGGTGAGCACGACCATGCGGAGCGGCACTGTGAGGATGAGGATGAAGGGGAAGGCCAGGGAGGCTGCTGTGGACATGACGGCCCAGAGCAGGGCCAGGCAGAGCAGCTGCAGGGCTGTGAACAGGTGCATACGGAGGGTCCGAACCTGGGGCAAGTGGGGTGGGACAAGACAGGTGAGCCCAGGCTTCTCCCTAGCCTGAGGGCCCCTGTCCCTGGAGGGCCATCCGGGCCTGCCACATTCAGAGGATGGATGACCCTTTCCTCTCCACGGGGTGGGGATGGAAATGCCTTCTTGTGTGCTTACCAGAGGCAGGTCTGCACAGACCGAATGGTGGCTACCAATGGGGGCAGATGAGGGGCAGGAGGGTGACCCACGCAGACCAGGAGGGAGCAGAGGCGTGGGGCCCTTCTGAGCGGGCTCTCACCTTCTTGACATAGGTGACATCTGGGTGGTGTTTGGGTGGCATGAGCAGCAGGTGCAGCCGCTCATAGAACTGGATCCCGTTAAGGGAGGTAACTCCCATGTACAGGAAGATTCCAAAGAGCACGGCCAGGGGTATCTGCCGGAGCAGATCTCCAATAACTATGGAGAGGCCTGGGGGAGAAGGAGGAGAAACAGTTGGCCCCAAGTGCTCCCACTGCCACTGGCCCCAAGACCCCTCCAGGAAGGGCAGGGACAAGAGGCGAACATACCCACAAGCAGGGCAACCAGCAGCCCCGTCACCCGCTGCTCTTTGACTTCCTGGATCTTGGGCTTGTCCCCCGGCGCCACAGCCTTGCTCATGACGGTGAGCGCGTTGGCATGAGTGACGGAGCGGACAGTGGCAGCAGCCAACCAGGGCAGGCCAAAGAGGGCACAGATGCCACCCATGGCCACAATGAGCAGCAGGTCCAGGTGGAAACCGGAGCCCTTCTGCAGCATGCGCTCCTTCTTGGAGATGATCAGCCTGGGCAGGGACAGGCGCTCACTGAGGCCCGGGCCCGGCTCAGCAGATACCTGTGTCTTTCCAGAACACCCAGCCAGTTGCCTCTGTCTCTTTTTGGACCCTAGTGGTCCCTGCCCATTCTGTCAGGACAAGAGTTCCATCATGGAGCTGAGCCCTATCTGCACGGCCCTCCCCGCCCTCCAGGACAGCTCCCGTCCCGTTTGGTGCCCATCCCAGCAAACGTCAGTGGGATTTTCTGCTGCCTACAAAACCAACTCCAGCGGCCAGCCTGGCATCCTGGGCTCCCCTCACCCAATGCAGCTGTGTTCCCCAGCCTTGCTGGGGCTCTGGCCCCTCCACGTACAAGGTTGTCCTGTCTACACAGCAACCCCCTTGGCCAGGACCACTCACGTGGTGATTTGCGTCTCCATGAAGATGAGGATGAAGACCAGGATGGCGGGCAGCAGGCTGGCAACCATCATCCACACGGGGAAGGAGCTCTTCTCCCCCAGGGGGTTGATGACCCAGCCTCGCTTTTCTGGGGCTGTCACCGAGAATCCGCTGGGCACACTCAGCTTCTGTTGGGCAGAGAGCAGAGACAGGGGCTAGTGGGCCTTGGAAGGAGAGCCCTGAGCTGCACTGAGGGCATGCTGTGGAAAAGGCCTGGTGTCTGCCCAGTTAGGAGGCAGCTCTGGGGTGGGGGCTGGAGGGGAACAGCCAGAGTCCAATGCCAGGCGGCACCTCCTCACTGCTGCGTGCCCCTCCTTACCTGGGTGTAGGTGTCCTCAATACTGTAATCCACAAGCACCATGATGAGGATCGCGATGGGCACCCCAAAGTCCCCAATCACCCGCCGTACCTGTGGGCAAGCGCCGTGCTTAGAGGGCCCCTGTCTCACTCCAGCCCTGACTCCGAGTCACCCCCCTCCTACCCCAGCTCCCGCCTCCCTCTGGCCTTCCAGCCCACGCACCCGGCCAGGGAAGAACCGGCTGTTCTTGAATTTGCGCAGGAAGAAGGCGATGAAGAAAGTGCCGGCCATGAGCACCAGCGACAGCAGGGCTGTGTTGGGCTGGCCCCGGGGCCTCCCCTGCCCAGCCGGCCCAGCCGAGCTCCCGTTTCCCAGGCCCAGCGTAGCTCTTGTTCCAGCCCACGTGGCATTGTCGCCACTGTCTGCCTCAGAGCTGTTGGAGACTGAACAGCCGTGGAGGGGGTGTTCCTGGAAGATCTGGGGAGAGGACAAAGGACTCCATCAACTAAACTGGCAAGATTTCCAACGTTGAGGGGGACAGGCCTCCCTGCCCTCAAGGAGCTTGTCTTATTGATTAAGAAAATGACCAAGGAGGCCAGATGTGAGCATGGGGCCACTGGGAATTAAGAGAGGGGCTGGTCTAAGTCAGGGCAGCAGTGGACTGTGGCTCCAGCAGGCCAGGAGGTGCAGGATGTGGAGCGAGGACAGTGGGGCCGTGTCTTCTCCAGAGCCTGACACAGACATGGGTCTGATGTCTGCACTGTGATCGTGTCTGTCATCTTGGGGGGGTCTTCCCTTTTACACTTCTGGATTGTTTGCCACTTTAACAAAAGCACGTTACCTTTGTCATTAAAGCTATGTTTTTTAAGATTGACCTGAAGCCCTGGTGTGTGTATGGGCGACAGGGAGGGTAGTGGGAGGAAGCAGAAAGAAGACCTGGCCCGCGCTCTGTGGGCTTCACAGACTGCGGCCTGGCGGAGCTGTGGGCCAGCCTGGCCTCATGCCCAAAAGACAGAACAAGAGACGGGTAAGACGCCCCTTGGCTCCCTCGGGTCCCAAGGCCTCACCCCCCGGGCTCAGTTCTCAGTGGGCCTGCCCACCTTCACCAGCTTGTAGAAGGTCTCGTAGATGAAGATGAGGGAGATGAGGAAGGCGAAGATCTCCTGAGTGAAACGGGAGACGAAGCGCACCAGGAAGCTCCCCTCCAAGGCCACCATGAGCAGGGCCAGGAGCACCAGCCAGAAGCCGATCCACACACGGCCCACCAGGTACTCTAGGTCATTGCTGCTGCAGAACTGGAGCAGGGGTGGGGGGCAGTCAGGGCCAAAGCCGAGGCGCTAACAGGGTGGGAGTGTTTGGGCAAGAGGAGGGGCAGCTGGAGCTGGGCAGAAGGAGCCAGCCCCAGAGGAGAGGAGCCTGTGGACCCTTACCGAGAAGAAGGCCTCCTCAAAGACCAGCAGAGGCCCTGAAAAGCCGATCACCAGCAGCGGCTGGGCACCCAGCAGGCAGAAGACCACGCCCTGGAGCGCTGTGGACATGATCAGCTCTGACACCCCGATCAGGTCCTGCGTCTTCTCTCCTGGGGTGGCAGAAACCAGCTCAGGAGCTGGCAGCTGGGGCGCTGTGCGTGCCCCGCCCAACCCTCACCTGAAGGCTTTCCTTACCCAGCAGCCCCCCAAAGGTGATAGCAGGAGACAGGGCCGCAAAGTAGATGAAGATGACGGCAGCCAGGCACTGGGGGTCGAGTGCGTCTCGGAAGTCACTCAGATAGTGGGGATAGCGGCGCCGCACATCTCGTATCAGCCCCCCGAACGGTCGGCCTGTCCGCCGAAGGGGATCGTCTTCAACTGCACCCGCCGCCTCTACCATCTGCAGGAGCGCTGCAACCCAGGCCTCTATCAGGGCGCCTGCCGCAGCCCCCTTCCTGCCCACCCCGCTCTCTTCCACATACGCACAGACCACCCCCAACCCGGCCCCCCAAGTCCCCGCCCCAGGTAGCCCAGTCCTGGCCCCCGGCCTGCACTGTCCCGTACCCTTATCTTGGGCCGACTTGGGCTCCAGCCCAGCCCCCGTGGGCAACAGCCGGCCCTGCTCCTCCCGCTTCTTGAGCATCTGGCGCTGGAAGTGAGCGACGGATCGCAGCAACTCCTCGCCCTGCACCTCCGAGGGCGGCAGCACCACGCTGCAGTCCAGAAAGGCGTTGATGGCGGTCAGCAGGTCCTCCCGCTCGTCTGCCAGGTAGGCTGCCTCGTGGAATTGCTGCCAAAGCAGGACTGGGACTGGTAAGGGCATAGGATGGGGGCCAGGGGGCCTGGAGCAGGGCTGGGAGATATTGGTGGGGGGTGTCCCGGGTGGGCTCTGGGGAGGGGCTGACCTTGTCCGACATGAGGGTGGAGATGGAGCGGCCGATCTCGTGGTAGTCCATGTTGGCGCTGCTCGGGCCCAGGAGCAGGAAGAGGAAGCGCACGGGCACAGGCACCTCCAGCACTGCATCCAGCTCCACCGCCTCCCGTAGCCGCACAAAGGCCATGGTGGGGCGGGAGAGGAACTCCACGCAGCCTGGAGGTGTGGGGCCATCGTGGGCAAGAGCAGGGCACAGGCCACTTCCCAGCCCCCAGCCCCTGGGCAGGCCCAGCACCAGGACCCCTGCCCCCAAGACCCACCCCACGTACCCACGAGGACCACCGTGGCCTCGGCGTTCTCGGGGATCTTCTCCAGCAGCTTCAGCTCGTGCTTGGACTTGGAGCGAGTGATGCCAGCTGGTGGAGCCGGAGGTGATAGCTCACGCTGGGAATGCAGGAGAACAGAGCTCAGCCTGGCCAGGCCCCCACCCCTACATGTCCACG